CTTTTTCCTTTTCAAATCTATCTGAACTACTATAATTAGGTATTATAACTATCCCAGTCTTTAAGGGCAATCCTCTAATTATGTTTTTGATTTCTTACCTTTAGCTTTAAGAGGAATCTTGCAAAACCTGCCTAGATCCAGGCTCTTTCTGAGAGAACCATTTTGGTCTACTCTTGAATTCTTTCTTCTCTTCCTTCATTATATCCCTTTGGCCCATATCACCTTCCTTGAATAAATAATAAAAAACCTCTTTTTATTCCTAGTCCCACCATTTAAAGAAGAATTATACCAAAGTATATCTGCTGTCCTTTTCAAAGCTATTTGGCTTAACTTGTCATATTTTTCCCTTCAGGAAGGGAATTCTCTTTTTCCTCTATTAATTTAGATGTCTTCTTTTGTTTTTCTTTCACTTTCCCACTTGCTTTATTTTGATTATATGTGTGTTTAAGTCCAATGCTCTTTTTCTTAATTTTATGAACAAACATGATTCCTAGAGAGGTCTTCTTGATTTTTGGCTTAGCTTTTGAGTTTGTTATTATTGCTTTGTTGAGGCTTTTCTAGTATCTCAATCCAAGAAGATGATTTACCTCCATATAATAAGGATTCTACTTCTCTTTATCTTTTCAGTGATTTAAATCCACACCCAATTAAAGTCGAATGGGCAGTCTGCTCAGGGATATATACCCAGGGCCAACTTGAAATCACTGTGAGAGGGACTGATTGATTGCAGAACCTAGTTGACAAGCTACATAAATCCAACGTTTAGTCATTCCTCAGTTGTCTCCTTGGGATACAATGAAGAATAAAATTTGGGACAGCTGATTGTATGGCTCCTACTAATGCCGGTATATATTGTTAAAAGCTAGAACCTCAAAAAACAATACTGTGGAGCTTACATGGAACCTAGCTGCCTTTTGCAGTCCTGCCTAGCAAACACATTATTCCATCAGCAGATGCCTAAATTGCTTGCCTGTTTTGAGGTGAGTCTTTCCTAACCAAAGGAATCTTCCGGCAAAAGCCTGTAAAACTTGCAAACACTAACATAGCACCAAAGTTTCTGTCTCTGTGGTGCTTTGAGTGTCTATGCATATGGATTTCAGGGCCCCTCCTCCATTGCTGCTTCTGAACAGTTGAAAAGTAGACACAGGAGACAAATTAATGGAGATGACAGACTGGAGAACATGGCTTTGACCTGAGCATAAAATTGGCTTTCTCTTCTTTCTCCACCAAACTAAAATTTCCCACCCAGTCTGAGGCAGAGCAGCTGATGAGTGAGAACAGTCCTCTCCTGCCACAAGGGCAAGCCTGCCCCGATGAGCTGTGTTCCACTTTGGGGACAGACTTACGGAGGAAGAATGAGGCAGGAGCCAGCTCCATGTGGTCAGTGACCTCTGCCTTCTCTTGCCCATCCTGTAGTTCCTCTTCACAAGTGACAGGGGGAGAAAAGAACTGAAACTTCCTTCCCAGAACTTACCTTCCCCAGAGGAAGAAGGGAGTACATGATGGGAGAGAAATCTGGTGTGTCCCCTAAATGGGTAACTTATCCCAGTACCATTTTTTCAATTATCCAATCTCTCTCCACATTTTAAAAATTAATAGACTATTTTTAGAGCAGTTTTAGGTTTACAGAAAAATTGAGCAGGAAGTGCAGAGAGTTTCCATGTACTACCCCCCCCCCACAGTTTCCCCTCTTATTAACATCTTGCATTAGTGTGGTATGTACATTTGTTACAATTGATGGGCCAATATTGTTACTTTATTATTGTTACTTAATTATTATTATTTAATTATTAACTCTATTATTATAATAGTTTACATTAGGGTTCACTCTTTGTGTTGTACGTTCTATGGGTTTTGATGAATGTATAATGACATGTATCCACCGTTACAATATCATACAGAATAGTTTCACTGCCCTAAACATCACCTGTGCTCCACCTTCTCACCACATTTTTGAAATGGTATCTTTATCATGTACCAGATTTCCACTCAGTGTAGATCCCTCACGTTTCTTAGGTTTATTTCTCGATATTTAATTATTTTGTTGCTGCTGTGACTTGGGTTTTTTTCTCATTTGTGTTTCTTTATGGCTTGTTACTCATATATACGTTAGCTAATTGCTTTTTCATGTTTATCTTATTTGTGTGTAGCCATCTGACTGATTTTTCATATTAGTTCAACAAATGTTAGGTTGATTTATCCTTATTTTCTTACTGATTTGGCTAAAATTTCCAGAACAATGTTGAATAATAGTAGTGACCAGGATATGTGTATCTTGTTTCAAACTTAAATGAGAGTGCCTCTCCTGTTTCACCATTAAATGTGATGTTTGCTGTTGATTTTTGATGAATGACCTTCAGGATATAGACACATCATTTTTATTTATTAAAGAGTCTCAGGAAATGAATTTTTAATTTTATCAAACACCATTTTGCCATCAATTGAAGTTTTTCTCTTTTAATCTGTTGATATGATGAATTACATTAATAGAATTATTGTTCTTGAACCGTCCATGCACTCCTAGAACAATATATGACTAATACCCTGCTGGATTCAGTTTGCAAATATTTGACAGATCTGTAAATAAGTCCCTAAAGGAAGGAAGAAGTGCAAAGAAAACGTGACCAAAATAGCAACTGGCAGTTAAAGAAAAAAGAAGGAAGCATAGTAAATAGCATGAAAAAGAAGATGGCATATGTAAGATGAAATATAAGTTTTCAGTAATAAATGTGAAGGGTTAAACTACACTGTACTAAAAATAATCTTAGATGGTGAGAACTTTAGACTAAGTCACACAAAATCTGTGCTGTTTATAAGAGACTAAAGATTCAAAAGCTGAAAATCATAAATACAAAGATATAACAAATATGGGGAGACATAAACAGAAATTGCAAGGGTTCTTTCCCTTAAGTTTTTTCCAGTGAACATGTATTGTTCAAAAAGTCATTTTTTTGTTTGTTTTAAGTTTTTCTTTAATTCATCTAGGACTTGTTACCTTTCATATTCTCCAGCTTATCTAGGTTTCTGTCTCTTCCTATTTCCTGTTTATGTATATACCTCTTCCCCAGATGACTGATAGCAGGACAGACCTGTCTCTGTAGGTCAGTCCCATCTCTTGTTGAAACCTATTAATTATTGTAGTATAGTGAAATAAATATGCCATTTGAGTACGAAAGATTCCTCCCATTTCACACCCCTCCCCCAGCGTTTATCTCTAGCTGGAGATAATCTTCAATTAATTGCTGACCAGAGATCTCTCTGATTTCTCTGACTTCCTTCAGTGCCTATAAATTCACTCCACTACAACTCTCTATGGCTGAGTACGCCTTGGAAACATTTTTTTTTTTTTTTTTTTTTGCTACATTTCAGTTTAGCTCTGAGTTTTCTGGAACTTCCCATCAGGAACCATAGATCCTTTTCCTGCAAGAACTCTGTGATCTGATTCGCCTTGGATTTTTTTTTTTTTTTTTTTGCTACATTTCAGTTTAGCTCTGAGTTTTCTGGAACTTCCCATCAGGAACCATAGATCCTTTTCCTGCAAGAACTCTGTGATCTGATTTGCTTTCTATCTTCTGTCAGTATTCTTTTCCTTTCCCTTCCTTCTCTTCCTCCTTTCCTTCCCTTCTCTCTTTCTTTTTTTTCTTTTAAGCAGCATCATCAGCTTGTTTTGGTGGTAACCAAATAGTTGGCTTGATTTTGCTACCTTGTATTTTTTTGGTGTGGTATGTGACAGAATCACCTGAGAGCTATGCCTACTCTGTACCCCCTCCCCAAATAAAAGGAAATAAAAATTTAAAAATTTCAGACACTGTTGGGATAACAATAGCTTTAACTATAAGTAATCTGCATATAATTTCTAAGCAACAGTCTATAGGCCTTATTGAAAAAAAATCTTCAAATAAGCTGTAAAAGTGAAATTTTGTTCATCTCTTAGCCCACTATTTAGAGCCCATTTTCTTTCTTGTTCTAAGCCTTACCATCTTATTTGAATTTTTATTCATGGAGTAATAAATACTTAAAATTTACAAAATGGCATATCCTCTGAGCTAGCTACTAAGCCATTATTTAGATTTGTGATAGATTTTTTTTTTACTCTGAATATATTATTTTCCTCATATTCCCAGTGCCTAAGGGAGTGCTTAACATATTGTAGACACTAAATTTCTCTGAGCCTAACCCGTACATTATATCTTTAACTTCATTAAGAAACTGAGATATTATTTGACAAAAAGAAAATTCCTTTTTTCTTGAAATTCATCTTTAAGGGTTCCAGTAAACCTTAAAATTTTCTTTAATATTCCATTTTCCTAACATTTTAATGAAGTATTTAATCTAGATCTGTCTTCTTTCAGCAGCTTACAGTGACACCATTTTGGCCTTGGTCAGAAATCACGATTTAAAAGTGGCTGCTCTCCAGCCCCTATCAAAATTGCATTAGAGAGAAGTGTTATTTAAGGAAAGATTGCTGAGTGGACATTCCATTCATCCACTCTGTGTATTTTGAGTTGTTCTGTTTCAAGTTAGATCTATGAAGGCTGCTTTCTTGGGAAATGCGGTATGTACTCTGGATTTTATCAAGGATAGATAAATGAAAAAAAACAGATTGCTATGTTTGAAAAACCATCAAGGACATTGCCATTATATCGTTTAATGTCCCCATAAAATCTCACCATTAGAAATATCTTAGAATTTGTGTCAGGAAAAAAAAAATTGGCTTCCCTAAAGAATTAGTAGACTATTTCTTTTCTGATTTAAGAATCTCTTCTTTTTTTTTCCTGACTGTTGGGAAACTTGGTGCCAAACTTTGATACAGCAGACTCATGACAGCAACTCTATATGTCCTTCCTAAATAGATCATATATTATATATTCTGTGCTGGAAAAAAAACTAGATTTAAATAGAAAATAGAGATAAAGCATTTGGCAGGCACCTGTTTTATATGTTTGCTAAGCTAGGCCCAGTGAGCCCCTTTTAATTTTATTTATTTCTCTCTTGATTAGAAAACATTGTGTGATGTGATCCTTATGGTCCAAGAAAGAAAGATACCTGCTCATCGAGTTGTCCTTGCTGCAGCCAGTCATTTTTTTAACTTAATGTTCACAAGTAAGTATCTTAAAGTAAAACATATCATTTTTTCTTTGAGAATGATGTGGTGTCTAAATGAAAATATGCCATTCTTCCTAGTTTTTAAAGCACTTAAGAACTTAAGGCCATAGAACAGTGAAGAGATTGAAAAGTGGTCATGGTGATGATGGATCAGAGGACAAATGTCCTTTCATTAGCCCTAAAGGCCCAATGTCTTTATTGATAGAGATACAGCTTGTCCTGGAATGCCCTGGGGTTTTTTCTTAACCTCAGGTGGAAAGGCAAAGGAGCAGATCAATCTTAAGACATTTTATCTAGGAAGTTAATCGAAGTAAAAATGAAATATGGCATACCATACTAGAAAGAACCCTCGACTGGGAGTTGGGAACTGGGTCCAAGTCCTGGTTCCTTTACTTAGTTCTGTTTTATGACCTTGATCAGGTTATATAATGTATCTGGCTCAAGTTTTCCGTTTGGTGCTCTGGCTACCTACCAGGGGTTTTAGGAAGAGTGAGAGCTTTGCAAGCTATAGCTGACTATATATATAATTGTCATCGTAGTTTTGTTCCGGCTACATCAGAGGTATTTTACTCATAGCAGTTTAAAAGAGTGCTACTAAATGATTTTAGGACTTGGGGAAATACTAAATCTAGTTTTATGTCTCTCTGTTCACTTAGGCTCTTTTTTAAGAAGTATACTAATTCACTAATTTCTTAGATTACTTTGACACATCTCATATGTGAAGAATTAATTTGCATTTATTCTAGGAATGTTGGGCTTTCTAAGGTATTTTCTTCCAGAGGGAACTGTCCTATTATTCTTCTCCATATTTAACATCCCTAGAATGTTCTAGTTCCTCTGTTAGACTCATAGTATACTCATGGCATTTATGTTTCTTCTCTTCATTTTAGCTAACATGCTTGAATCAAAGTCCTTTGAAGTAGAGCTCAAAGATGCTGAACCTGACATTATTGAACAACTTGTGGAATTTGCTTATACTGCTAGGTAAGTTAAGAAGAATCATTTCTGTTGTAGAGGAGTAAGGTTGGGATCTACCATGCAAAGCACTGTTGTAACAAATTGATGTGCTCCAAATTTTTCAGCCTGAAAAACTATAAGGACACGGGATTTTGAGGATCCTGTGCCATAATAATTCAGGAACTGAAAAGTTTAATTTTTTGTTTAATTTCAGGGACTACTACGATACATTCTACAGTAGCATTATTTAAATAATAAAAAATTATAGGAAGTTAATATTCATTTTAAATTATTTGCAGAATTTCTGTGAATAGCAACAACGTTCAGTCTTTGTTAGATGCAGCAAACCAGTACCAGATTGAACCTGTGAAGAAAATGTGTGTTGATTTTTTGAAAGAGCAAGTTGATGCTTCAAATTGTCTAGGTAAGAAATCAGATTCCTATTTTTTTTTTTAAAGTCTTTATATTTTAATAAAGGAGAAAAGCAATTATAAGTATCCACATTTAGTTTTAAAGACATTGTCCACTAGAAAATTTTCTAGGAATACATTTTAAGAGGAGCTTAGGGAAATGCATATTAACCTGGGCAGCAACAAGCCCATTAAATACTGTATCAATATTTTCCAAAATATAAAATAGCTTTAATAATGAGATTTTGTGTATCTAAGATAAGGATTGCATCTGGTGGTGGTATGATATATGATAACATAAGCATGAATGTTTACCTTTGTTGAAGCACTTATGATTACTATAGTCTGTCACAGATGAGGAAACGGAGGTTGTATAACTTACCCGAGGTCACATAGCCAGTATGTGGAGGAGCCGGGGTTAGAATTCAAGGAATCTTATTCTTAATTGCTACACCATGCTATCTCCCCACATTGTCAAATATGCTAACTATTTTATACTAGAAAACTTGCAAGTCCTAGACTGTAAATTAAGATACTAATTAAGGGATTGCTGTAGCACTCCATTTTAAAGCTATTAATAAAGTAAGTATTTTGTATTTGATGTCAGGAGAAGCAGAAAAAGTTGATCAGAGTTTTCCAGAGTGTGGTATGCTTTCTGCTGTGAGGTCATCCTTAGTGGCACATGAATGAACATCCAGATCTTTGTGATTACATTTTCCTACCCTTGCTGTGATTCAGAGGGGAAGAGGATCAGGGTAGGAGTGCTAGGAAAGCAGGGAGAAAAGGAAAGCAGAATCAAAAAGAGTAGAAAGAGAGGCCTTGGAATCCAGCCAGCGCTCAAATTTTTGACCCACAGGAGAAGATGAGGGCTGCTGATGACAAGAAGCTGAAGGCTGGGGCAGAGGGCTTGTGGAGACGCACATGAAGTGTTAAAAGCCTCCTCTGTGCCCCCTTTTTCTAGGTTCCCCTCCTACTAGACAGTTCATTACTCCATCTGGCACCCCACCCCACCCCTCACTGAGGGTACAGAGAAAAAGATCTTAGAAGGCAGGTAAAAAGGAAGCAGAATACATTTTAGGGAGGGATAAAAGCCAGGCAAAGGGGATGGGAATGAGATTGTTTCTGGTATCCAGAGAAGGAATTGGACTAGATGGAGCAGGAGGGAAACAGCTATGCAGGTGAATATACTGATGGAATTTTTTTGAAAGGTAGCCATGGATCTACATAGTGAAAAGATTCCTATGTTAAGAAATAAAAGACCGGCCTTTAATCCCACCTGTACAACAGAGATGCTCTGGGATGAGTCCCTCCATCTTTCTGGGCCATAGTTTGGGGATTTAAGTTTAAATCCTGAGATTTAAGTTTAGTTTCTCTTATATAAATAAATATCTTCACAAAATTTATTATAAAAAGGGAATTTAAAGAAGTTTTTAGAAGATGATGGCTTAAGTATGTTTCCCTGACTCCCTAGCTTTCTAAATTTCCTACTGGGGTGATTCAACTAGAAAGAAAACCAGCAAAAGTAGAGAGTGGTTGTGGCAATACAAAGCATAGTGTGAGACAGGGAGCAAGTTTGTGCTAACCGCATCTTAGACTTTGGGCTTCTGAGGAGACCATTTAGGAATGTTACCTCTGGGGGCCTTCTGTCATCACTGTTTACAAAGCTGGGAGGAAGGACAGCCTAGAAGGGAGCCTGATTCTCTGGCTAAGCCTGAGGCAGACAGTGGCCCAGCCAGTTGGACCATGTGCAGTCACTCAATACCCAGGGAAACTGCTCCATCCAGCTTTCTGTTTAGTCCTGAGCATGACTCTCCCTGTGAGCTGATTGAAGAACTCCTGTTTTAGTTTTCACCACTTGTCAGTTCTCTGCTGCCCAGAAAATCCCAACAGTCTGACATCCACAAGCACTCAAAAGAGCCCACGGCAGCTGATGGAATTGGGCAAAGATTATACCAAGTTAAAGGAAAGCCTGTAGTTTGAGGGACAGAAAATCAAGCTAAACAGCCAAAATGACTGGCTCCTATAAGGAAATTTAATGTAAGAAATGGAAGAGAACTTAAAATAGGAAGGATGCATTTGAAGGGGGAAAAAACCATAATTTTCCATGAAATTCAGTTGAATTGAAAAGGAGAATGGATATACCTAAAAATCAAACTAAAGATCAGACAGAGGAAACTGCCTCATGATACAAAACAAAAATCAGAGAAATGGAAACCATTACTGAAAAGATGCAAGACATGGAAGGAAGATCCAGGGACAGTAATGTGCAGTAGTAATTCCAGAAGGAACAGCTGGAAGAAAAGCAATAATCAAAGAAGTAATAGAAAAAAACTTATTTCAGCTTAAAGAAACTTTAACTTTCAGACTAAGTTATACTAAGTACCAGACCTGATCAGTGAACTACGCTATATCCTAGATATATTCTGGCGATATTTTTCACTTCCAAAGATCAAGAAAGAACTTATATTTGGGGTGATAAAAATGTTCTGGAACTGGATAGTGGTGGTGGTGGCACAACATTGTGAATGTACTAAATGTCATTGATGGTAAATTTTATGTTATGTGCATTTTACCATAATTTTAAAAAATCAATGTAGAGAAAGAATTTGTAAGAGTTTAGAGAGAGGAGGTATGGTAGATTACCAAAAATTAGCCATGAATTCTTTCCATTCCTATATGTATCCCTTTTCAATGTGACTTTGTAACTCCTCCCATCAAGAGATGGAGTCTGTTTTCCTCCCTTGTAATTTGAGGTTGGCCATGTGCCTTGCATTAGCCCATGGGACATTAGCAAATGTGATATGAGCAGAGGCTTAAAAAATGCTTGTGTGTTGGGGCTTGCTTTCCTTTGCTGCTGGGAATGCTTCTGCCATTATGAAAAGAAGACTACAGACCATTTGGTGCAGAGATAAGCTATCCCAGCTGAGGTCCCCTACACCAACCACCCTGCCTGTTACCAGATATGTAACTGAGGCCAATGTAGACCATCCAGTCCCCAGCTGAGCAGCCAGCTGACTGCAGAGATTAGCTAAGCCAGCCCAGACCAGAAGAATCATGCACTTGACCCATACAATTTGAAGAAATAATACGTTTTTGTTATTTTGAGCCACTGAGTTTTGGAGTTGTTTGTCCTGTAGCAATAGATAACTGATGTAACAGGTTACTTAGAAAAGAAAGAGAATCAGAATGACACTTATTTTTTATCTGCAACACAAAGTTAGAAGATAGTAGCACAAGATATGCAAATGAAAGAGGGAGAAAAAAAATAATTATATTCCAAGACGTCATTCATTTGGGATATTGCAAAGACACAGTGTGTAATCACCTATATCCCTTCTGAGAAAAGTATTAGGGGAAGTACCACCGCCTAGTGAGAGGTAAAGATCTCAAGATAGGGATGTACTGGTCAGCTGTCTTAGTTGCAAGCAAAATAAACTGACTTTTGCTGGTTTAAACAGAAAAGAAATTTACTGAAAGGTTTTTGAGTAATCTCAAAAATCTAGAAATCTCAAAAATCAAGCTTAGAAAAAGTGTAAGGATTTGAATAACACAAACTTATTTAGGTAGATGTCACAGAGTATTTTACCCAGTAACTAGAGAACACAAATAGTTTTCAGATACCTTGGAGTGTTTACAAATACTGATCACCAGCCACAGAAAATCTGGAGATCTGAAAGAGAAGAGACACAGGCTCTTCAATCAATATCCATTGATTACAGTGCAGTGAAACTGGAAATTAACCTCAAAGGAGAGCTATTTCCTCCCACCCCATTCTGAACACTTAGAAATTTAACTGAAGAATTATTTAGAAAAATACTTTTAAAGAGGTATTAAAAATGAATTTACAGGCTACACATAAACATTTGACAATAAGCACAGAATAAATCAAAATCTTTGGAATGTTATCAAAGTATTTCTTAGAAGAAAATTTGTAGTCTTAAAATGTTTTCCAAATAAATGCATTTTTTTTTCTTTGTGTGTGTGTGTGTGTGTGTGTGTGTGTGTGTGTATGAGAGGAAGATCAGCCCTAAGCTAACATCCATGCCAATCCTCCTCTTTTTGCTGAGGAAGACTGGCCCTGAGCTAACATCCGTGCCCATCTTCCTCCATTTTATATGGGACGCCACCACAGCGTGGCCTGACAAGCGGTGTGTCAGTGCACGCCCAGGATCTGAACCTGGGCCGCCGGCAGCGGAGTGCAAGCACTGAGCCACTACGCCACGGGGCTGGCCCCTAAATGCATTTATTTTTATTTTTTCTTCATTTAACTATTTCACTCAAACAGATAGGAAAAAAATTTTTTTAAACACCTAATGAAAGTAGAAAATATTCTTTAAAGCATAAATTAGTAGAAAAAGAATACTAATAGACTGTAGACTTGGCTAGAAAAACAAAAGCTAATTATTTCAAAGAACGTTATAAAACAGTCACAGACTTAACAAGTCTATTCAGCAAGGAAAGATCAAAGAACAAACAACATCAAGAATTAGAAAAGATCAAAGAAGAAACAACATCAAAATATGAAAGACGACGGAAATTGTCTTTAAAGGTTGAAAACCTAAAACCGATAACCTCAGAAACATTGAAAAGGTAAAGATCTGTTCCAAATGAATGCTTCAGGCTTGATAGTTTTATGTGTTAATTCTACCAAGCTTTCAAGGAAAGATTAATGCCATGTTATATAAATTGTTCTACATCAATAGACAAGGATAGAAAACTTCCCAGCTCATTCTACAAAGGTAGGGTTATAATGATGTCAACATTGGATGAAGAACATATGTGTGCACGTGTGCAAACGCACATAAAATTTTAGTTTCACTTAGAAACAGTGATTTTTTTGTAAATTCTAAAAATTTTTGGAATTAAAAAAAAAATCAAGGCCAGCCCCAGTGGCCTAGTGGTTAAGTTCTACGCGATTCACTTTGGCGGCCTGAGTTCGGTTCCCAGGTGCGGACCTACACCACTCACCTGTCAGTGGCCATGCTATGGCAGCAGCTCACATACAAAAAGAAGACTGGCAACAGATGTTAACAGATTCAGAGGTGAATCTTCTTCAGCCAAAAAAAAAAAAAAAAAAATCGAATCCATCAATGAATGTATTTAAAAAAATACTCTATCACTCTAGTGTGGGATATTGATAATAGGGGAGGTTGTTCATGTGCGGGTACAGTGGTATATGGAAACTCTGTACTTTCTAACTCAATTTTGTTGTGAACTTAAAACTAATCAAAAATATTAAGTTTATTAATTAAAATAATAATGATAATACTTTGTGACCAAGTAGGATTTACTTCAAAAATGCCAGAATGATTCAGCATTAAAAAAATCTAATATAATTTATTATACTAACAAGCTATAGGAAAAACATAAATACTTACAATCGTAGCAACAAATGCTGAAGGCACCTTTGTGTTTTCAGTACCCATTCCTGATGTTTGAAAAAAAAACACTCTTAAACTAGAAATAGTATACCTAATTAACCTCTAAGTGTCTGAAACCTATAGCAAATATTCTTTACAGGGAAACATGCTGCTATTCAGCTTTGTGCTGGAGATTTCCATCAATGCAATGTCAAAAAATAAATAAGGTAATAGTAGAAGCTTCCTTATCAGGCATAATCAGAGTTGTAGTTGATTGGCCATTTTAAAATGTCATTAAGGCAGTGAGGGGTTAAACAAGATAGTATCCACTGTAAAGGTGTTACTTTAATGTAATACATAAGTATACCAATCTTCCCATCTGTAACTGTAAGACCAAGCCTGTCATTTGAATATTGATCCATTGTCTGTCTTACATAAATCACACCAATAATATATCATTTATGATTTTTTATTTTTAGTTTCCTTAAAATGAATTGAGAACTTAGTGAGAGAGTCTGATTACAGAATCCCTCTAGAATTTTGCAGTGTTTGCTTGGATCTTATGAGTTATCTTGGTCATGCCTAATTTGAGTTTTTCCAAGTCTGTCTTAAACCTTAAGATCAGTTTTCATAGAAACAACTACTTTCTTTTCACTTCCATATTTTATTGATCTGCCTGACATTTAATTGGATTGCATAATTAAAACAAATTCAACTGCCGAAAATTAGTTAAGAAACAATTACTAGTTCTTGGTGAAAATATCATCTCCCTGATGGGAGCATAAGTGTATGGATGTAGCAGGCTGCTCGCCATGAGCATCCAGCATGCCATGGCATTGGTCAGTGTATTTAGAAAATGACAGCTAGTCTGATAAATTCATTAGCAGGCATCAGTTATGAGAACCTTTATGGTATAAATATGAAAGCATCGAAACTTACTATCTGAAGACAACATGAAGTTGAAACATGGAATATCAAAGATAATGAACTGAAAAAAATTCAGCTTATGACTTTGAAAGGAGGCCTGCCACAAAGATCACATACAATAGTCAGTGGTTTTGTTTAGGAGAGGGGTTGGCAACCCTCTTCTGTAAAGGGCCAGACAGTAAATATTTTAGGCTTTGTGGGCCAGAGACATATGGTCCTTGTCTCCCCTCCTCTTCCTTCTCCTCCTCCCCCTCTCTCCCCTTTCTTTCCCATCCCTCACCCTTCCCTCTCCTTTTTTTTTTCTTTATGACCCTTTAAAAATATGAAAAAAGTTCTTAGCTGCAGACCCTATAGCTGAATGTGGGCTGGATTTGGCCCATGGACAGTACTTTGCAGACCCCTGATATAACACATTAATAACCAATTTAGGGGGGAATCTTTCCTCCCAAAGAAAAGATAAAATAGCTAGGAAAAGGCTGAATGGGCAATGTATAGGATGTCTATGAAGAAAATTGTGTAATTACATTGAAGATCATAAAAAATCTGAATAAATGGAGATACATGTCATGTTCGTAGGTGGAGGTTCCCCATATTGCAGAACAGTCAGCTGTCCCCAAAGTAATCTAAAAGTTCAGTACAATCCTAATTAAAGTCATATCAGGATTTTTTTGAGTAGAATACAATAAGCTTATTTTAAAATTTATTTGCAAGGGAAAATGTTTAACAGTAGCCAAGAAAAGTTTGAAAAAACATTGAAGGAGGCTTGTCCTATGAAATATCAAAATCTGTCATACATAAGACAGTATAGTGTTGGCATAAGAATAGACAAATCAATGGAACAGAAAAGCCTCCAGATTTATGAAATTCATTCAGTCTTGCTTTCCTGGAGTCATAGTTTATCTTCATTGTGTGTCTGATTTTTTAAAAAGTGATTTTCTATTCATAATTTTCTGTTGTGTTTAGGTATAAGTGTGCTAGCAGAGTGTCTGGACTGTCCTGAGTTGAAAGCAACCGCAGATGACTTTATTCATCAGCATTTTACTGAAGTTTACAAAACTGATGAGTTTCTACAACTTGATGTCAAGCGAGTTACACATCTCCTCAACCAGGACACTCTGACTGTGAGAGCAGAGGATCAGGTGATGACAGTGCCCTCTCACATTTTTCTTAGTAGAAATGTCCTTATTGATTTCTTATGCCTCATGTTTGGATACATGACAAGGAAAGAGTTATATTAGGAGAGAATGTGTTCTTTACGTTAAACAGAGTATTCCAAAGTCTGTTTCATAGGAAAAGTGAGTCTCGGGTGTTTGTAAGAGCCGGCTATTTGAGAGGCCACTTGGTAGAGATAAAGCTATTGGGTACCAGGGTAGGCAAAACAGTGCCTCCCCCAAAGATGTCCACATCCTAATCCCCAGAACCTGTGAATATGTTATCTTACATGGCAAATGGGACTTTGTAGATGTGGTTAAGTTAAGGATCTTGAGATGAGGAGATTATCCAGGTGTGCCCAAAGTAATCATAAGGGTCCTGAAATGTGGAAGAGACAGGCAGAAGAGTCAGTGTCAAGAAAGGCTTGACTGGCCCTTGCTGACTGGAGGAAGGGGCCACGAGCCAAGGAATGCAGGCAGCTGCTAGATGCTGGAAAAGGCAAGGCAATGGTTTCTTCGCTAGAGCCTTCAAGCAGCCCTGCTGACACCTTGACTTTAGCCCGGTGTGACCTATTTTGGACTCTGACCTCCAGAACTGTCAGATAAAGTGTCAGAGGTGCAAGCTGGACACAGGCATTGGGGTGGGGTAACACTTTAATATGCAGACATTCGCTGAATCCCTGTTCTCAGTCCCACGTCCTTCTCTGTATTTTAAGCTACTGAGTTTGTAATAATTTTTTACAGCAGCAATAGGAAACTAGTAGAGGTACCGTAAGATCATATGCTTTGAGTTACTTTTATTCTAAAGATAAAAGGTTTGCACTGAGCCAGGTTCTTTTGTCCAGTCGTCTTCATGGCCCAGAGTATCAGTTTCCAAGTTGACAGGTTGGATCTGAAAGATCTAACTACGCAAAAAGAAAAAACTGAGTTCTATGATCAAAATTAACTGACTTATATGCAGTATGGAAAGGGAAGAAAAAATAACTTTAGACTGAAGAAACCTGGCAAACACTACCTACAGGTTAACATCGTCAGTGATAAGTCATGTTGATAGCATGCACCCTTGATGTAATGTAATGAGAAGGCACGTCACCTCTGTGGTCTTCCTCGAAAAAAACTGTAGCCCAAGTCTAGTCATGAGAAAAACATCAGACAAACCCAAATTGAGGGACATTCTACAAAATACCGGACCAGAACTCAAACTCTCAAAGTCATCAGCAACAAGGAAAATCTGAGAAACTGTCACAGTCTAGAAGAGCCTAAGGTGACATAATGACCAAATGTAATGTGGTATCCTTTATGGGATTGCGGGACAAAAAAAGAACATTAGATAAAAACTAATTTTTTTTTTTAAAGTATGGGCGTTAATAATAATGTGTCAATATTGGTTCATTAATTGTGACAAGAGTATCATACTAACATAACATTTTAACAACTGGGTGCAGGGTATATGGGAACTCTGCACTATCTTGACAACTTTTCTGTAAATCTGAAGCTATTCTAAAATAAAAAGTTTATTTAAAAAAATAGATCAATTCCCATAAAAAATTAAATAACTCATAGGGAGATCAGAACTCAGGCCTTATTAACACCACACCAAAATTAACTAATTTAACTAGCTCGAACGTGTGTGGTAAGTGTGTGTGTATGTGAAATAATAGGTTTGTTTTCAGTTTGTTTAAACTAATGATTTGTAAGTCAGTTATGTTAATGAACTTGGCCTTGTTCAGTGCAGTTAAATGAATGCTCCGGTATTATTTTGGAAAACCATTGTTATATAAATATCCTGTAATTTATTTTTTAAATATAGAATTTTTATATCTTAAAGTTTCTGGAAAGCAGATATGTCTATCAATTCACAATTCAGGAATATTAAAGATTGAAATAAAAGTGTGGGTGACCTTCGTATCTCCTGGGATGGAAGGCCTCAGGAAATTAACCTGTTTTCCTGGTACCAAATGAGTACATATTCAAACTATCATTGACCAGTAGATTTTTTTTCAGTACAAACGTACATCATATCTACTTCCGAAAAGGAAACTGTATTTTGTTTTGAAAAATGTTTTTAAAAAGTCAACATCTTCCTTGTCATTACATTATGTGGCAGTAATTAGTTCTAAAAAACATGTTGCCTACGAGAATCACTGGAGCAGTGTGTGAACTGTTCTGAAGTACAGGCAGGTGTTTGGGGATGAAAACAAATATCTGAATAAAATATTGGAAATAAGTGGTTGTGTCCGTGAGGTTCTCCTCCTTCAATGTGAGAGTCAACATAGGTAATTGGAAATGTTGCTGCCATCTAAGAACTTTACTATGCTGTTTTTCCCCCTTAGGTTTATGATGCTGCTGTCAGGTGGTTGAAATACGACGAACCTAATCGCCAGCCATTTATGGTTGATATCCTTGCTAAAGTCAGGTTTCCTCTTATATCAAAGAATTTCTTAAGTAAAACCGTACAAGCTGAACCACTTATTCAAGACAATCCTGAATGCCTTAAGATGGTGATAAGTAAGTTGCCTTAATATCCGTTTATAACCTGATCGTGTAGCCAGTTAGAATGGATCAGACTCAGTAGCCAGAGAGAAACATTCAAGACTTTGCTCTTCCAGATAATTAATCTCTTGGGGTTCTCAGCTGTCTACCTGGAGGGGACTTAGCCCCAGCCTTTAATTTATAGGGACATTGTGTGATAGAAGGTAAAAATTGCATGTGCTTTTTCTCTTTTTGTATACAATAGCTTCTGTGCACTTTGTTTCTGGTGTTTGCTTTTTTATTTTACTTAAGCCAAATAGTGTACTGTGATCACATGTTCTTTCTTAAACAGCCGTTTTTTTTTTGGCCTGGAGTTAATAATTGCCGTATTCATTTTCTTGGTTTTTCTTGACTTGCAGGCCAAGTCTCAACCCCTCAACACCTCTGTAAAATGCCACTTAATAAAATTGTCTGTGCAATTAAATAGTCTGTTGCTTCTATTTTATTTCTTGGAAACGTCCCTTGTAGAGTCTTCCTTCTGCCTATTCCAGTATGGACTGTTTGCTCTCTAGGCCTAAGGCACAGTTCTCGCCCTGGGCCTCCCTTCTCTGCTATCGTGGGATGTCCCTTTGTATATTATACAAAGAAAGGTGCATAGATAATATAAATATGTGAAGAATAATAGTAAAACAAATACCCATATTCTCACCACAAAGCTTCAGAAATAGAACATTGTAATTCCTCTGTGTATCTCAACCCTCTGACATTCCCGTGCTTTCATTAGAGATTTCCATATGCATATGTACATATTTATAAACAATACTTTGGCTTTTCCTCTTTTGGCTCTTTATATAAGTAGAATCACTTGGTGATTATCCTTTGGTGATGTAATTTTTATTTTGTGTTCAGCATTGGTTTCTGAGATTCATCCATATTGATGTATGTTGTTGATTTATTTTTACTATTTGGTAGTCCATACTTTAAATATACCGGAATCTGTCCAATCTGTTGTTCAAGGGTATTTGAGTATTTCTAGCTCTTTGCTTTGGAAATGGTTTACATGTATCTGCTCTATGCCTTGGGTAAGAATTAATGAAACACAGGGTATGTGCTTGTCCACCTGTGCTGTGTAATGACAAGCTGTTGATCTTCCCTTGAACAGGGAATGACAGTTCTTGTTATTCCACATCTGAGCCAACCTGTTTATTCCCATTCTTAAGTGTTTGCCCGACTGTGAGGTGTAAAATGGTGTTTCATTGTGATTTTAATTTGCATTTATCACAAATGGGATTGCACATCAATATTTCATCTTCGATGAAATGCCTGTTTGTCTTTTTGCCATCCTCTATTTTTTTTTTTAAGTTTTTATTTAATTTATTTAAACTAAAAACAAAAAACAGTTTATTATCATTTCTCTCTCCCCCTGCTGGCTGCCTCTGGCAGCTGCTAATCCGTTCTCTGAATCTATGAGGTTGGGTTTTTTTGGTTGGTTGGTTAGATAAGAGTATAAGAGAGGTTTACTCCTCCACGTATAAGAAAGGTCATAACAGTGCTTGTCTTTCTCTGTCTGGTTTATTTTAGTTTGCATAATGCCCTCAGGGTCCCCATGTTGTCACAGATGGCAAGATTTCGTATCTTTATTTTACCATAAAACATTGAAGGATAGTTAAACTGAGTATAGAATTATCATGCAAGTCATTTTCAGGTAGAATTTTGAAGGCACTGCTCCATTATTTACTGGCTTCCAGTGTTGCTTTTGAGAAACCTGATGCCGATTTGATCCTTTTATGTATTTGTCCTATTCTTCTTTGTAAGCATTTAAGGTCTTTTTGTTGTTGTTGTTACCCTGATGTTTTGAGAGTTCATGATAATGTACCTTGATGTGCATCTTTTTTTTTTTTTTCTTGAGTTATCATATTCGGCATTCTCTATCTTTTCAGCCACAGATTTCTCAGTTCTCTATTATTGGTACTGTGATTCTTCAGTAATTGATTATCCTCTTTGTTCTCTCTCCTGGGAGATAGCCTCAATTTTTCATTAAACAATTTTATTTCAGCTATCTTTTAAATTTCTCTGACCTTTTACTTGTTCTCTAATTTCTTATTTCACAGCTGTAATATCATTCTAAAGTAGCATTATAGTGCCTTTGAAGTTTTCTTACCTTGTCTGCATTTTCTGAATGATCTTTGAATTTTTTTTTCTTTTTTTTCTGTTTTTGTTGTTGTTGGAAGCTTTTCTTAAATGTTTGGTTTCATCTGTGAATCATTTATAAGAGTGGGTTTTTATAAAACTCTTAAATAAGGCTGTATGTGTGAATGTGCTTCTCAGTTCTTGGGCTGAACTGTAGGATAATCAGAATAGCCAGACCATTTGTTAAATGAGGATCTCCAAACGTCAGTGTCTGCAGATATTTTCTCGTGTAGCTGGGTACATGTTTGGGTGCCAGGTGGGGGAAGATTTTGGTCTACACACTTTCACTTAATTCCTGTCTTCAGTCTCACGCCCTTCTCTGTGTGGTTCCCTGAGTCTGGAACGTCTCTGGTTCAGTATCTCCAAAGACCAATCCTCCTGTCTCCTACAGTGGGGAAGGCATGGCAGGTACCTGACTGTGCAGTAGGGGAAGGAGACCTGGCAGTTCAGTTGTTTATTCAGAAGTTTAGAGTTCTCCTGTTTTTAGCCCTACTCCACCTTCTGGGACACTTGGTATCTCCAGTTATGAGCCTTTCCAGGGTTCTGCAGGGTAATTTGGCTTCTCATTGGTATCTCCTTCCACAACCATTTAGGTTTAACATTCTGTCTATCTGCTAGCTGTTGTTTTGTTTTTTTTTTTTTTGAGGTAACATTGGTTTATAACATTATATAAATTTCAGGTGTACATCATTATATTTCTATTTCTGTGTAGACTGTATCACGTTCAACACCCAAAGTCTAATTACCATCCATCACCGTACACATGTGCCCATGTACTCCTTTGCCCTCCCCTCTGTACCCTTCCCCTCTGGTAACCACCAATCCATTCTCTATATCTGTGTGTGTGTTTGTTGTTGTTGTTATCTCCCACATATGAGTGAAATTATACAGTATTTGGTATTTGGCTTTCTCTCTATGTGTGGTTTTTTTTTTTTTCATCTTTCGCATATGAGTAAAATCATATTGTATTTGTCTTTCTCCATCTGACTTATTTTGCTTAGCATAATGCCCTCAAGGTCCATCCATGTTGTCACAAATGGCAAGATTTCATCTTTTTTATGGCTGAGTAGTATTCCTTTGTGTATATATACCACATCTTCTTTACTCATTCATCCACTGATGGGCCCTTAGGTTGTTTCCAAGTCTTGACTATTGTAAATAATGCTGCAAAGAACTTAGGGGTGCAAATATCTTTTCTGGATAACTACCCAGAAGTGGAATGGCTAGGTCATATGGTAGTTCTATTCTTAATTTTTTGAGGAATCTCTGTACTGTTTCCCATAGTGGCTGCACCAGTTTATATTCCCACCAGTGGTGTGTGAGGGTTCTCTTTTCTCCACATCCTCTCCAATGCTTGTTATTTCTTGTTTTTTTAATTATAGCCATTCTAATGGGCATGAAGTGATATCTCATTGTAGTTTTGATTTGCATTTGCCTAGTAATTAGTGACGTTGAACATCTTGCGTGTGCCTGTTGGCCATCTGTATATCTTCTTTGGAAAAATGTTTGTTCAGATCCCTTGCCCATTTATTTTTTTTATTTTTTTTTTTTTATTTTTTGTGAGGAAGATCAGCCCTGAGCTAACATCCATGCCAATCCTCCTCTTTTTGCTGAGGAAGATGTTAGGCCCTGGGTTAACATCTGTGTCCATCTTCCTCCACTTTATATGGGACGCCGCCACAGCATGGCCTGACAAGCGGTGTGTCAGTGCGCGCCCGGGATCCGAACCCGGGCTACCAGCAGCGGAGCGTGTGCAGTTAACCACTGCACCACAGGCCTTGCCCATTTTTTAATTGGGTTGTTTGTTTTTTTGTTGTTGAGATGTATAAGTTCTTTATATATATCTGGTTATTGTTTGCCTGGTTTGTCTTTATCCATCATTTCTTTTTAGACATTTTGCCTCCTTATATTTTAGGTTGATCTCTTAAAAATAGCATATTGCTTCATTTTCGTTTTTTAATCCATTTTGACTATCTTTTATCTGGTGAGTTGTAGACCATTTAAATTTATTGTAATTACTATCATATTTGTAATTATTTCTAACATTTTATTTTGTGCTTTGTTTCAATTTTTTCTGCTTCTCTTACCTCTTGTCTTCTTTTGGATGGAGGTTTTTTCCTTCATTTTTTTCCCTCTACTGTTTGAGAATTTTTACACTCTGTATCAGTCCTTTTAATGGTTATGCTTTATATTTTAACATGTGTACCTTAGACATTAATATTTCTACTCTTCTCCTGAAGAAAACAAGAATCTTCCAACACTTTAATTCATATTACCTCTTTCTTACGTGTTTCTGTTGTCCTGTATTTTAGTTCTCTTTTTTTAACCTTCCAAATGGGACGTTAAAAAATTTATTTTTAAATATAGTGAGTGAGTGTTTAGATTTATCCATGTTTGGCAGTTTCTTTGCCCACCATTTCTTCTTGTATCTTAGACTTTTCTTCTGAGAGTATTTTTCATATTCCTGAAGAACATCCTTTACAAAGCTCATACGTTTACGGTCTATTGATTGTAAACTATTCTGGTTATCTGAAAATGTTTTTTTATTCACCCTGTTCTTAAATGAAAAGTTAACTTGGCTTAAATTCTAGGTTGAACATATTTGTTCTCAACATTTTGAAGATATTATTTCACCATGCCCTTATCATCACTGTGGGTGTCTACTTGTCCTTCTTTGCAGATAATCTGAATTTTTTCTATGGCTTGTAAAAAAAGATTTTCTTGGCTTTGGTGTTTAGCACCAAATATGTCTGGGCATCCATTTTTGTGTGTTTATCTTGCTTGGTATTTGCTTTGTTTCCTGAGTCTGGGGGTCTGTGTTTTTCATCAAGTTTAGAAGATGCTCA